TCATCTGGCCTCTGTGAATACTGCACACACATACCTACAAACCAAATCACTCATTAAATGATTTAAAAAAAGAAAACTGGTTTGTAAGGAAAGAAGGCTCAGTGGTTAAGGACATGAAATACTCTTACAGAAGGCTTGATTCCAGCATCCACACTGGACTGCTTACAATTGCCTTCCAGCTCTAGAGATTCTGACAAACACATATATATGGCATACAGACATACATATATATAAGTAAAAATAAATCTTAGAAAAATAATTTAAGTTGATTTATACGGGTTTTATTTTTGAGACAGGTTCTCATGTAGCTCAGGTTGGGCCTGCTATGTATGAAAGTGAGGCTGGCCTTTAACTCCTGACTCATTCTCCTAACTCATTGGATTATAGTTGTGCACCTAGCTCGAAAAAATTTTTAACCTGACCTCTATTATCAAATGTGAATTCTGGCTCCTCTAGTCAAGGACTTATACGGGTAAGAGACTCAATAGCCCTGAAGAAATACAAAACAAGATAGTCCCCCTGTTTAAAACTATATGCGTTAATTGAATTTGGTGACATCAGATGAAGCAGAAGTATGAAGTTTGAAGTCCAGTAGGGTGGCACATGCCTTTAATCTCAGCACTGAGAAGCAGAGGTTGGTGGATATTTATTCAGTTCAGAATAGCCAGGACTTTACAGTGAGACTGTCTCAGAACAACAAAGTTTAATCTTTGCCTGAACTAAACAGCAATTAGCTTAGCCTGAGCAATTTAAGGCCCTATCTCCAAGTTTACAAAGACATGCTAGAGATGTAGTTAGCAGAGTACTTGCTAGCAAACACAAGGCCCTGGGTTTAATCCCCAGAACCACTAAACAAATAAATGACCAAATAATGAATTCCCTAAAATAAACTTAGGTTTTTGTTTGTTTTTAAATGTATGGAGTCTGGTAAGATGGTTCAACAGTTATAAATACTTCAAGTCCAACCACCTCAGTTCAAACCCTAGAACTCATAGTAGCGTGAACTGACTTTTACAAGTTTGTCCTATGACATCTAAAAGAATGCTACCACAAACACATGCATTTGTGCATGCACACAATAATAATAAATAAAACTGAGAAAAAAATTTACTAATAGTAACAGTCCAAAATTCCCTCCTCAAACTATAGGATCTTTTAACTTAACCAGCAAGAGACATTACTGGGTCTTTTATTTCTCATTTCTTACCTTTTCCTGCCCCACACGGTAAAGGAGATAATCTCCATTCCCAAACTACATAACTAATTCATTGTCTGGCTCTAAAATAATTTAAAAAATATGAAATGAGGATTTTATTATTATTCAAATACTTCACAGGTAAGAATTTTTCTAATATTATTTGTTATCCCTTTCAAAGAAACAGGAAAAGACAGTTCATTTAAAAAAAGAAAACAGAAAAGGTAAATAACTTAAGCAAAATAATTCATTTAATTCACAAAGACAGACTATATACCCTACTGCACTTACTGCTGCTATGAGATATTTCTGGAATTTCTTTTCTGAAAGAAAGGGAAAACCACAAGCAAGCTTTTTCTTCTCCACAAGTTAAGAATCTACATGCACACCAAATGCTACTCACCCTCCCCAAAATCCCCTGTAGCTCAGAGATCTGCATTCTAAAACTGAAGTTTTGTTGTTGCTGTTATTTTGGTTTTGGTTTGGTTTGTTGTTTTAGGGAGGTTTTTTAGAAGAAAAAGAAAGGAAGGCAGGCCAGCCATCCAAACAAACATAGTGGTGGCTCAGACAAAATACTGCCTAGCACTCCCAAGTCCAGCCTAGATAAGGAAGTATATAATCCTGTCCAAAAAGGGGGGGGGACCTAAATATACTCTCAATACCTAAATTCATTCGTGGCACAGAATGTATAAGTAAACAGAAGAATAAGAATAGATGTTCTGAGGTTAGAGATGGCTTAGGTTTAACAGCACTCACTGATGTTCCAAAGGACCCCAGTTCAATTTTCAGCACCCACATAGTGGCTCACAATCAGCTGTAACCTCAGTTTCAGGGGACATGACACCCTCTTCTGGATTCCATGGGCACCAGGCATGGAAGTAGTGTGCACACATATAGGCAAAACACCATTACATGTAAAACCAAAAATTTTGAGTATGAAGCTGGGCATGGTGGCACATGCATTCCAATCCCAATCACTGGAAGGCAGAAACAGGCTGATCTGAGTTCAAGGCCAATTTTGTCTAAAAGCCAGTTCCAGGCCAGCTGGGGCTATATATTAAGACCTTGTTTCAAAAACACTATGAAAATGTATAGATTGTACCCATAGCTTTAATACAGTGTATGTGAGGGGTTGGGGATTTAGCTCAATGGTAGAGCACTTGCCTAGCAAGCACAAGGCCCTGGGTTCGGTCCTCAACTCTGGAAAAAAAAAAAATACAATGTATGTGACAGAGACAAACATAAGACAGGAATTTGACTTTGGACGTTCACTGACACTTTTATCTGTGAAGAAATTTAAACACTACTCATATAAAAGCAAACCAGTAACCTCTAATCTCATTCATGCCAATTATGTCAAAGTGGCACCCCCAAAATCAAGGAGACTATCTTCCTATAACATTCAGAATAAAGCCAGCCTTTTCAGATTTTCCCTTACAAGTTACAAAGAAAACAAATCTTTAGAATCTAAAGTTAGCCAGCACTTTCTTTCCTAGCCAAACACCCATGTGTTCTGAGTTCAGCTCTCATCGTTTTACTGAAAGGATAAAAGCCTTCCACAAATCAAATTGAGGGACCTACAGACTCCCCCAACAACTGACTCTCCAAATAAAACTCTTCTCTCATCTTGGTCTAGAATTTATTTTCTTACAGGGAAATTAAAAAATATGGGTGGATAATATACACTGCTTTTTTCCAAAGTAAAATGTCTAGTCCAAAAAACTTCCTGTTCAGACCTAGGAAAAACAGTGCTGTAACTGTACTCTGCAATAATTTCTCCTTATTCCTGTCAAATGCACAAGCCAGGATCATTGGCACACAGAAATTCCTGTACTTTAACACCAGGACCAGAGGTTAAAGTCACAAGGGATGAATGAGGACCAATGTAGAAGAAATAGTTAGCTAGGCATGGTGGTGCACACCTGTAATTTAGCACTAAGGAGATACAGGCAGGAGGAGGATCACAGAAAGGTCAGCCACCCTGGTCTACACAGCAACTCACAGACTAAATCTCAACAATTAAAAGTCAATAAATCATAGCCAAATTAAAAAGAAACATAATTCTGAGCATTTAAAACATCACAGTTCAGTTCTTTGACTTGACCATTGTCAAAGAAAAGAATAAGTCAACTTGTAAATGCACATGTATGCAAGTATGTGTGCAAATATCTACAATTACGTATGTTTGTGTCAACTTTTCTTAAAGATTCTAAAAGGTCAGTATCCTCTGTCCTAAATTACTCACACCTGAAATGGGCACACAGTAATACACACATGTGCTAAAAGAAATGCAAGAGCTCAACGCATTTCTTCACAAGGAGTCTGTAGGATGCCTCATCTTCTCGAACGCTAAAAACCTCAGCGTTCAACTATCCAGTTATTCCGAAGCTCAAAGATGTCTTGGAACTTCCTTTTCCTGTCTAACTTCATAAAACGTCCAAGAACCGATCACGTGATTTTTCGGAGTAAAAGCTGAGAACTTAATACTCACCTGCCTCTAACTAAAGAGAAAATAAGAACTGCTCTACTTAAATACACAGGCAAGGCCACACTTAAGGCAGAGGCGAACAGCAGACAGGCTTTTTGAGCTAGCTGTGTCCGCCAGTTTCTCAGGCTCCCTCAGTACCAAGGGCAGGGACTTTGGCTAACAAGACCCCGCCCTCCCCCATCTCCAACACGGGGTGGGCGGGAGGTAGCCTGCCGAGTCTGGGTTCCCGCGCGAAGCTCGCAGACCAAAGAACTCCCTATTGTGGGTCTACAGACGGTGACGGGAACCAGTGCCGCTCCTGACGCGCGTCGAAAAGCAAACCGAGCGCTCACTAGGCCCGCACCGCTGCCACCGTCTCCTTGCAAGCGACTGCTGCTGTCAGATAACACTGCACCCGGGAAGCGGGAGGCGGACCAGCCGAGTGCTGGTCCAAAGATTTCACGTCTCACGCAACGTTAGAGACAAGGGTCCAGGAGCTATACCTCGGACACCTCGTCCTCGTCGCTTCCAGAGACACCACCTCCGCCGCCCGTCCGCAGCACGGCAGCCGCCAACTTGAAATCCAGCGCTGCGTCCCCTCCGCCCGCGCTGCCGCCGCCACCGACTCCAGGCGCGGGCCCAGCCTCCCCAAAGAGCCTCACGGTGCGGATTCCCAGCCCGACCCCTCCCGGCGGAGGCGGCTCCGAGGCCCCAGCTGGGGCGGATCGCGGAGCTACGGAGTCCAAATCCTCCTCAAAGGAGGTGCCGCCGCCCCCGCTGTCCGTCAGCATGGTTCTCACGCGGAGCCGGAGACGCTGCCGAATCACTCGCGGCCACCGCCGCGGCTGATCCCGGGAAGGTGAGGAGCAGCAGGAGGAAGAAGCGTCTCTTTCCCCCCCGTCCCAGCAGCGCCACTAACTTCTCACTGCCTAACCTGCTGCCTCCCGCCCCTTAGACTCATCACTGGTTGCGATTTCCAGGCGCCTGCAAATCATTGGCCACAGAGATCTGTCGCTCACGCTCTCCGTCACGCGCTGCTAGCTGGCTCGCAGCCCCCAAGCTGCGTTGACCCGCGTAGGCCTAGGCGGTTGTGAACACCCGCCTCTTACTTCTCCCGAGCTGACTTCCGGTCTCCTTCTATATCTATTGGCCAGCCTCTGTGACTATCGTATCACGACCTTACAGTCTATTAGTTGGCCTTGTGGTCAGTCAAAATGAACCCTAACAATGGGGAACTCCATTGGTGCCAGATGTTGTCGGTCATTTTGTCACGGGACGTCGCGTGGTACAATTGGCCTGTGAGGAATACTGTTCATCCCGCCCCCATCTGAGGTGACGGGAAAAGGTCTGGGGAATTTCCATTTCTCATTAAAAGGAGGGCTGCAGTGAGAACCCGCAAGAAGTAACAAAATATGAAGTAGACCTAACCCTGCTCTTGGAGAGTCTGTGCGTCCAAGATGCAAGAGGCGTCGAGGTAGCAAGGTAGCTCCCACCTGTCGCTCTCCCACGGGCGCCGCGGCTATGGCCGGAAGTAGCTGCACGGGAATTGGCGGAAAGAAGCAATCCGTCTCAGTGAAGCCCCATCTTCCTGCCATTTCCTGGTTGGAAGACCGCAACGTCAGTCACCACATCAGGCTCCGCCCCCGGGACAGGTGAGGCTACTTAACTCGTTTGCCTCCGGCTGTTTAGGACTGGGAGTGGCCGCGCTAAGGAATCGGGGTAGGGCTGATTCTGTTTGGCGCCTGCCGCCTGTCCGGGCAGAGCGCAGCGCGCGGAGCTTAAGCAACCCGGGACCAGCTTCGATGGCCTCTTTGAGGCTTCTCCACCAGCCCGCGCGCCTGCTATTGGACCGGCGCGCTCTACAGCCTTTGGTCCTGGGAACTGTCCGGCGGAGGAAGACCGAATGGTGCGTGGAATCCGACTGCAGGGCTACGCGGCTGAGGGCGTGCTCGCGGGCTATTTCTAGTCCGGTGCCGCCACTTATTTGTTGAGTGACCTCGGAGCGTTTGATGTTACTCTGTGTAAAATGGGAATGTTCACACCGTCCCCACTGGGTGGTTAGGAATTAAAGTTGATAGCACACAGAGCTTAGCAGAGTGACCAACTTTTAGGGAAGATTCGTTTTTCTTAATTAATCCTCCCTCTTCAGTTCTCTCTCTGCCTGTCCTGAGTCCTGCCAGCCAAACCAATTCTAGCTAAATTTCTGACCAAGGAAGTCATCCCCCTCTAATGATTTTCTCCCTTCCTCTCCCCCTCTTAACCTCCCCCGCCCCCATTTTACCAATAAAAAAATTAAAAGTGTTCTGGTTCCTCACTAATTCATGATTTAAGAAAATCGCAAACGAGTTTGGTGATGTTTGTGTGACAAATGACCTTTTACCCAGCAAATATATATACAGGTTAACTAAAAACAAAAGCTTTGTCATCTTTCTATTTAGAGCCCTTATAAAGAACCGTATCTATCTCAATTGTGCAATAGTCAGTATTTCAACTCCATTAAATTGGGTTTTGAGAATTATATTTTCATGTAATTAGGCTGGAGAGGTGGTTGTGCCATTAAAGGTCAAGTTCAGTCAAAAGATCAAAAATATAGTGATGGGGGGGCAGTGCTGAGACAAAAAAAAATTTTAACTGTTCAAATTTCCTAGATTGAGGGGGGATAGGATAGGGGGTTTCTGGGGGAGGGATGAGGAAAGGGGATGACATCTGAAATGTAAATAAATAAAATATCCAATTAAAAAAAGAAAAAATTCTTAGATTGGTAATTGTTCATTTTATATGCCAAGAAATACAGTGTTTCTATGATAAAAATGTATCTAGTTCTTTCTAGATAATAAGTTGTAGAAAATGGGAGACGTAAAAAAAGAAAAAAAGAAAACGGGAGACGTTTTATTTTATATAACTGTTTTTATGTAAACAACATATAGCTTTTGTGTTGTTTCATTTGGTTTTGGGTTTTTTTTCTTTCTTTCTTTTTTTTTTTTTTTTTTTTTGGTTTGGTTTGGTTTGGTTTTCAAAGACAGTGTTTCTCTGTGTAGCTTTGGCTATCCTGGAACTTGCTCTGTAGACCAGGCTGGCCTTGAACTCATAGAGATCCACCTGCCTCTGCCTTGCAAGTGCTAGGATTAAAGGCATGCCAAGCTAACATACACAGTTTTAATTAGCCTGCATCCTCTGATGTTTTCAAGGCATGTGTAACTAGCTCACAACTCAAACTAAGCAACTAAACAGAAAAAAAAAAAAAAAGCAACTAGCATTGCCCAACCCACTTCAAAGCTGGATTACCCAGAATTGGTTTGGATACATCCTTAGACAAAAACAGGTATTGACTGGTGCAGCGTCACAAAGGAATTGCTTCTCATTGCTACCACAGGTACAAAAATAACTTCTGATGCAACTCCCTGAATAAATACATTAAAGTCTTTAAACAAATGTAATAAATTAGAGAGGAAACTGAAAAGTGGGTATTTTCAATTCCTTTATCCATTTGAAAAATACATACTTCTTGATTCAGTGCCTAAGAACTAACCCAGAGCATAGTCAATATGATTGAGCAGTAATCACTGTTTCTTCTGAACCTTTACCTGAAACATGTCAGTAGTTTATTATTATGAAACTCTAAATTTCCTAGATTTTGGTGAGTGCTATATAATTCATATAACTACAGCTCTGTGCTTTTTAAAAAATGTATTCTTTTATGTACATAAGTGTCTACATGTATGTCTGTGTACCACATGTGTAGCCTGAGACCCACAGAGGTCAAAAGAGGGTGTGAGCTGCCATGTGAATGTTAGGAATCAGACCCCAGGTCCTCTGCAAGAACAGCCAGTGCTCTTAACCACTAGTCATCGATCCAGGCCTCTTATCTGCTTATTTATTTATTTACTTACTTCTGTTGTGTGAGTGTAATTACATGTGCCACAGTGCTCATGTATGTGGTGGTCAGAGGACAACTCCATGGAGTGGGTTTTCTCATTTCACCTTTACATGTTTGCCAGGGATCTTACTTGGGTTTCCAGGCTTGTGTGGTAATGTTTACCCAGTGGGCCATCTCGACTGTTCCTGGTTTTTATTTTATGAAACAGGGTCTCAGCCGGGCAGTGGTGGCGCACGCCTTTAATCCCAGCACTTGGGAGGCAGAGGCAGGCAGATTTCTGAGTTCGAGGCCAGCCTGGTCTACAGAGTGAGTTCCAGGACAGCCAGGGCTACACATAGAAACCCTGTCTCAAAAAACAAAAAACAAAACAAAACAAAACAAAAAAAAAGAAAGAAATGAGCATTAGAATAAAAATTGTGCCACAGAAAACTAACAAGAGTAATTACTTTAGTATATTTGTACTCATTTGTTGTGTTTTGTACTTTTAAGGTGTTGAGGACCTCATAAGTGAGGTCTCGACCCCTGAACTACATCCCCAGTAATATATGATGTATTTATAATGTGTTCCTGGTCTGCATATTGAGTTTCAGGCCAGCCAAGAGGGAAGGGAGATAGAGAGTTCAGAAAGAGTGCTTCTGTTGTTCTTGCAGAAGACCTGAGTTTGGTTCTTGGCATCTATATCATTGAGCTAACTGCTATCCGTAACTCCAGATCCAGGGTATCCAACACCTTTCTCTCTAGCGTATTTGGATGCCTGTATACAAATATGTGTGTGTGTGTGTGTGTGTGTGTGTGTGTGTGTGTGTGTGAATGAAGAGATGGCCCAGTGGTTAAAAGTATATATTGCTCTTATAGAGGACTGGGGTTCAGTTCCTAGCACCATGTTGAACACCTCACAACTTCCTGTAACTCAAGCTTCAAGGGGTCTGATTCTCTCTTCTGGCCTCTACATGCATTGCATTCAGATGCACATACCCATATGCACACACACACACACACACACACACACACACATAATTAAAAATAAAATCTTTTTTTTTAAAAAGCCAACTATATATGTGTCTGTTACCCCAGTGCTGGGCAGGGGTAGAGGGTAAGAGTCAACACAAAGATCCTGGAGGCTTGCTTGCCAGCCATTCTAGTTAAAATGACAGACTCCACATAAACCACACACACACCCATAGATCACATACAAAAAGGTGAATAGTGCCTGAAGAGTGGCAAACCCAGGATTGACGTCTGACCTCTACACACACATACAACATGCAGGTACACAGACACACATACACACTTGCCACAAGATTGATGGCCTGAGTGATTCCAGGAGCCTATGGTAGAGGGAGAGAACTGACTCACTAGCTGCCCTCTGACCTCATACACTCCCTGTGCTCTTTGTGCTCACATACTTACACAGATGCAGATGCGCATGCACACAGGTTTTCTATTTAGTTTATTTTCATATACACCCTCAGAGTCTTGAAGGTGTTAGATCCCTGCAAGCTGGAGTTAAAGACAGTTTTGAGCTGCCTGTTATGAGTGGCGCTAGGAAACAAACTTGGGTCCTCTGAAAGAGCAGTGGAGTGCTTTTAACCACTGAGGGATCTCTCCAGCTCCCCATCACCATTTTTTTTTTTAAATGAAACCAAGCATGGTGGTGCTTACCTATAATCTCAGCACTTGGGAGGCAAAGACAGGTTAATCAAGAGGTCGGGGCAAACCTGGCAACAAGGCCAGCCTAGACTACAAAAGACCATGCCTGAAAAGGACAAAAAGAAACAAATAAGATAATAACGCAGAGTATGGTGGTACACTCTTGTAATCTCCAAACTGGAGGGGTACAGGAAGGAGAGTCACTGGGTCTTGAGGTCTACCTGGGCTACATAGTGAATTTCAAACCATCTCAGACTCTCAGGTGCATGGTAGCACTATAGTTCCAATCCCACCTCCACATATTTAAGGCAGCCTGTCAGTATATCAAGTTCCAGACCAGCCAAGAATGAGTGAGATCTTATTTTTAAAAAAAAATGGGTGTAGTTGTACATACTTTAATCCTAATACCGAGGCTACAAACTGAATTTGAGGCTAGCCTAGGCTACTTAAGTCCCTACCTCAAACTAAAACAAAAATTTATATATGCCAGACAGAGGTAGATTGTGGCTTTATGAATGATAAGTTTTCAGTTCTGTTTAAATTGTGAGTGCGTGCTGTAGGCTTATATTTTTTTCAAATCTTCTTTAAGAAGGGTTCTTAAACACTTCAGTCTCTCTATAGACCACCAACCAAAGGGATGGGAGGAAGATGGCTAATAGGACAAGGGGGATGTGGACCTACCTGTTTAGAAGTAGTTCTTTGGGGGCAATTCCAATTGTTGTTAGCAGTCCAGTCCACTAGCAAAACACCAAACACGAGTCAGCATGAGTGGCTCAATCCAGAAGAAACTACAAGGCTCCTCTGATCAGCACGAGTCCAATGAAGCAGCAAGAAGCAGCCAAGATACCACCAGAAGTTCTTTGGTGCTTGTCATGACCAAAGAAGAAAGCAAGGCAAACCAATGCAAGTCCACTGTATGTTGAGTTATACTTATACTTTTTCCAAATGTGTCCTCTCAAGCATCTGTTCCAGCAAACACCACATGCCCTTTCATCAGGCAGTTTCCAGAAAGACATCACATTTCTGTTCTCAACGAAGCATCCACTCATAAGACAGCTTCAAGAAAAACATCACACGACACAACTGAGTCTTCAATGAAACCAGAAATTCCCACTTCATGTGCATGCGCACACACATGTGCATGTGTGTGCCTGTGGATCCCAGAAGAGGGTGTGAGATCTCTGAGGGTGGAATTATAAGTGTTTTCAAGCACTGATATGGGTGCTCGGAACTGAACTTCGGTCCTTTTTGAGAGCAGCAAGTGCTCTTAACCTCTGAGCCATCTCTCTAGCCCCTCTCTGTTTTTTCTTTTTAAATCTGTATATGTACATTTCAGGGAGAGTATGTGGCGGTCAGAACAGAGAACAACTTGAGTTATCTCCTTTCACCATGTGGATTCTAGCTAGAGATTGAACTCAAATCATCAAATTTGCTAGCAAGCCCTTTTACTCTCTGAGCCATCTTTCTGGCCTGTAGGTAACTTTTATTTAGTTGTATTTTCAACTTACCTGTAAGTTATCTGGGGTAATTATCTGGGGTAATCAGAAAATTCAATAAAGGTAGTAAGAAAAAAGATCACTGTAGTTGGGTTGGGAATGTAGCTCAATCAGTAAAGTACCAGCCTAGCATGCACAAAGCCCTGAGTTTGATCCCTAGCATCTCATCAAACCAGGTATGGTTGGTTGTATTGGTTGTAATCCTAACACTTTGGAGGGGGAGGTAGGGATTAGAAGTTCAAAGTCGGGGGCTGGAGAGATGGCTCATCGGTTAAGAGCACTAACTGCTCTTCCAGAGGCCCTGAGTTTAACTCCCAGCAACCACATGGTGGCTCACAACCATCTGTAATGGGGTCTGATGTACTCTTCTGGTGTGTGACTGAAGACAGCTACAGTGTACTCATATAAATAAAAATAAATCTAAAAAGAAAAAAAAAGTTCAAGGTCATCCTTGACTACATCCCATGTTCAAGGCCAGCCTGGGTTACATGAGTCTGTCTCAAAAAAATCATTACACATATAAAATGAAGAGCTAGTCAAGTGAGATACTTGGCAGTGAGTGTTAGGGAAAGTGTGCAGGAGTGGTCTTTGGTTTGTTTATTTGTTTGTTTGTTTGGTTAGTTGGTTGGTTTGTTTTAATTTTTACTTTTACTTGGGTTTTTGAGAAATGGTCTCACTCTACTGAGATCCTAGGCAAGCACCACCACATCTGGGCCATTCAAAAAATGACTGAAAACAATCACTTTTTCAGGTGAAGGTGAAGATGACTGGTTTTTTATGTTTGGAGGATCTTAGCTCATGCAAAGTCAAGAATTCCTGAGAAACCACTGGACAGAAGCACAGGTCAGTGTCTTTACAGTAACTAGAAATATGTTTCAAAAAGATATCTGCAGAATGTAGACTAAGCTGCTTTTCCCCTGCTGAGTCCTTTGGAAGAATATACTTTTCATTTTGCCTTCCCAGGAAGCTGCATCTTTCCAGTGAAAGATGAAAACTTGCAGCAATTCTATAACATTTCCCCCACATGAGTACATGGTAAAAGAAAAGCCAAACATCACACTGAAGAATGCATATCAGCAGCTATGTAGAAATGCAGCACAGTCTGCATTTGTACATGCTCATTGCAACAAGACAAAGAAAAAAATCTAAGCCTACAATCAATAGATCCCTGGAAAAGTCAAGTCCAGATTTCTGCTTCTGTCTCACAAACCCACTGTGTAAACCTGAAGCTACCTACTCTAAACATCCTTCATATGCATTCTTAGACACTACACACTACAACCGAGGCAGTCACACCTGGTTTCTTTAGACACTTTCCTTAGCTAGTGCCATGTCTTGCTAGTCTTTAAAGTTCCCAGACTAGTGGGAGCTTGGGTTCTTGTGTATAACACTTTCTTGATGGGGGAGCCATTAGATAGCAACCCCAACACAAGCGTATACTCATTGCACGGTTACTGTGGCCTGGCATTTAGTGAATCAGCACTCTTTAGTCAGAAGAACTACTGAGGATTCTCTAGGTTCACTTTTTGTAATTTATATGTTTTACTTTTGAGACAGGGTCTTGCTGTGTGGCACCAGCTGCAGACTGGCCTTGAACTTAATTTTTGAAGAGCTTTGTTTTCTTTCTGTCTTGTCCTTCCTTCCTTCCTTCCTTCCTTCCTTCCTTCCTTCCTTCCTTCCTTCCTTCCTCCTTCCTTCTTTCCTTCCCTTCCCTTCCCTCCCTTCCTTTGTTTTTTTTTTTTCTTCTTTTTTTTTTTTTGAAACAAGGCCTCTCTAGTATCCCTGACTGGCCTGGAACTCACTATGTGGGTCAGGCTGGCCTCAAACTCACAAAGATCTAACTGCCTCTGCCTCCCAAGCAATGGTATCATCAAGGGCCTGGCTTTTGTTTTTGAGACAGGGTCTCATACTCTAGATTGGCCTCAAACTCAACATATAGCTGAGGCTGGCCTTGAACTCATGAGACTTCCTGCCTCCACTTCCTAAGTACCAAAAAAAAAAACCAGGTATTCACAATCACACCCAGTTCATGCCTCTGTTGTTGTTGTCGTCGTCATTGTTGTTGTTGTGTATATGATGTGAGTTGTTATGTATATCATGTGAGGGAGACACTTTGTGGTAAGTCCTTTAACCCTCTGAACCATCTTGCCTCTCTCAGACTTTCCTGTTTAATACAGTAGAGGCCGGAGGACTGAGCGTTAGTGTGAGTATCTCCTGGGAAAATCTCTGAGTCAACACACAGCCTCTTGCCTATTGAATTGTTTTCTGTGAGAATTAGAAGCACTTACTAAAGTGGGGAAACAGCAGGCGAAGGACTCCCAATTCCAGGACTAATTTTAACTTGCAGGTGAGGCCTGAGTCATTCTGCAGGCTGAGCTCTGAAACTCTTATGGAGTGTTTGAAGTTAACTCAGTTTGCCACACCCCTCACTCATCAAGACAGACTCATAAATCAGGAGACGCAGCAAGGCGTTCACCTGCAGGGCAAGGTAACAGTGCCACCTACCAGGTGTTCTTCCTTAAAGAAATGGTATGGTATCTACAGTGGCCCCAAGAGCACATGTATAGAAAGTCTGGTTGAGCCCTGAGTCTGATAGGAGCTCCAGGAAAGAAAAATGGACAGGGCTCTATCTGTAACTTTCAGTCTAGAAGGCCTGCATTGTCAATGCTAGGGGATAAAAAAAACAATATTGAACCTTATCAGAGATTTAGATATAAGGGTTTGTCAGTTAAAGAGAATTACTTCACCATTACAGTGGCATACAGAACACATGTCTGAGAAGTGGGCAGGCTTGTCAACAACCTCTCAAAATCTGTTCAGAAGTTGACAGTTTTTAATCAAGATTGAGCCATACTAGAGAGTCCAAAGAAAATAGCAGTACTGTCCATTTCATGTGAATGTGAGGTTTCTGGAGAATGACAAAGGAACTCAGAAACATTTAAAACAAAACTGGTTAGACCACTACTTAGAGCCTTGTAATCACATGTCCAATAATTGGCCTCATACATTCTCCAGTGTGTTCCCGTGTGCCACTAGCACCAGAGCAGACAGATAGAATCTTCAGTATGATCATCTTAGAGATGACAGAGAGAGAGAAAGAGAGAGAGAGAGAGAAAGAGAGAGAGAGAGAGAGAGACTGAAGTCCTGAGTTCAACCCACATTAAAAAATAATAAAAAGCTGGATGCAGTAGCAATTATCTGTAATCCCATAATCCCAGTGCCTCAGCACCACAGAAGGAAGAGAACTGACTTCCATTGGCACACCTGCACTCAGCCATTCTCTCTCTCTCTCTCTCTCTCTCTCTCTCTCTCTCTCTCTCTCTCTCTCTCTCCCCCTACCCACCCTTTCTTGGTCTCCCAAGGGCACTTGCATGTGCATGATGTACACATACTAACAAACATAAATAAAAAATTTAAATCTTAAAAAAAAATATGCCAGAGCTGGAGAGATGGCTCAGTGGTTAAGAGCACTGACTGCTCTTCCAGAGGTCCTGAGTTCAATTCCCAGCAACCACATGGTGGCTCACAACCATCTGTAATGGGATCTGATGCCCTCTTCTGGTGTGTCTGATGACAGCTACAGTGTACTCATATACATAAAAATAAAAAAATCTTTGAAATATGATGAGGAGTGACGACACATGCTTTTAACCCCAGCACTCTGGAGGTAGAAGCAGGTGGATCTCTGAGTTCAAGGCCAATCTGGTCTTCAAAGTTCCAAGTTAGCCAAGGCTACACAGAGAAACCCTCTGTAGTGGTTTGAATATATTTGTCCCGGGCAGTGGCACTATTTGGAAGTGTGGCCTTAGAGTAGGTATGTCACTGTGGGTGTAGGCTTTAACACCCTCTTCCTAGCTACCTGAAAGCTAGTCTTCTAGAGGCCTTCAGATGAAGATGTAGAACTCTCAGTTCCTCCTGCACCATGCCTGCCTGGATGCTGCCATGCTCCCACCTTGATGATAATGGACTCAACCTCTGAACCTGTAGGCCAACCCCAGTTAAATGTTGTCCTTATAAGAGTTGCCTTGGTCATGGTGTCTGTTCACAGCAGTAAAACCCTAAGACACCTGTTCTAAAAAAACAAAAAACAAAAAACAAAAACAAAAAAAAACAAAAAAAACAACAGTAACAAAAATAATGTAGCTCAGGCTAGCCTGAAATGCACTGTTATCATGGATGTCCTTGAACTCCTGATCCTCCTAACTTATACTCATATACCTGCTACCACTTCCCATTTTATGTGGTGCTGGGATCAACCTAGGGCTTTATATATGCCAAGCAAGCACTGTACATCCCTAGCCCCCCTAATTTTCATAGCAATATTGGAATTGACCCTGTGAGCACCAAGTATGAAAAGCAAGCACTGTACCACCGAGCTACACCCTAAACCTAAAGAAACCTCACATAGTTGCCCAGAGGGTCTTGAGAGTGACATTTTCCTACCTCAACCCCTACAGTAGCTGAGAAACAACAGGCACACACCACCAGACACCTGGCAGTAATCCTTACTTCTCTTCTGTAATAACTCCTATTCCACTGTTTGTTCGTTTGTTACAGGATCTCATTCTACAGCCTGGGCACACTTGGGACTCACTGTGTGACCCAGGCTGGCCTCAAACAAGCAGCATTCCCCCTACCTCAGCCTTTCAAGTGCTGGAGTTACAAGCATGAGCCACATGCCCAACTCTCAAATGTACAAAATATACTTAACTTAGAAAAATGGGAACTTAGGGAAGAAATATCTGACATGTTTTAACATAAATGCACAGTTTTATCACCACAATTCTCAAAAGTATCATCTGTATGTGTCCAGAGGTTTGAAAACTTTTGCAGGGAGCCCATGAAGTAACAACTGTCTTTGAGGCCAGGCATAGTGCCACACACCTGTAATCCCAACACTTGGGAAACTGAAGTAGGCTAGTCTGAGGTACTGTTGAAACCTTGGCACAAAGGGGAGGGGGAGAAGGAGGAGAAAGAAGAAAGACAGGAGGGAGAAAGGGAGGAAGGGAAGCGAGGAAGGGAGGAAAGAAGGAAGGAAGAGAGGGAAGAAGGAAGGAAGGGAGGGAGGAAGGAAGGAAGAGAGGGAGGAAGGACAGGAGGGAGGAAGGAAGGAAGGAAGGGGGGGAGGGAAGAAGGAAGAAAAAGAAAGGAAGGAAGGAAGGAAGGGAGGGAGGAAGGACAGGAGGGAGGGAGGAAGGGAGGAAGGAAGGAAGGAAGAGAGGGAGGAAGGAAGGGAGGAAGGGAGGGAGGGAGGAAGGGAAGAAGGAAGGAATAAAGACAGACAATAAAGACAAAGTAAAAACCTTTCTTCCTGGCACCTTAGCACAATTATTTAAGGCATGAGTATCAAATTTACCAACAGTCACTGTATTTGTCCTCATTAGACACTTAAAGGAGAAAGAAAAGCAGATGTCACTAAGAATGTCCTGAGTTTGGAGATTTAGGGCAGAGTACATACTTTACATGCACAAGACTCTGGATTCTATGCCCAGTACTGCAAAAAGTAGATATGGTGGCAGACAACTGTAATCCTAGCACTGGGGAGATGCAGGTAAGAGGATCAGAAGTTCAAAGCCAATCTCTGCTAGAGACTTCAAGGCAATACCAGGATACAGGATACCCCCGGCTCACTCTCAAAAAGAAACACACACACACACACACACACACACACACACACACGGAGGGAGGGAGGGAGGGAGGGAGGGAGGGGGGGAGGGAGGAAACATCATTATTAAGTATCATGATTAAAATAAAAACCACAATGAGATATCACTAAGCTCACTAACAGTAACAAAAAAGGACAGATAATAGCTAGTCTACCACTAAGGGAAGTCAGGTGGGAA